ACACCTGCCTCGACGCTCTTGATAGCTACCGGTAGAGCCGTTTGTGCATCGTCATCTCGAAGACTCGTAGACGCAACAATGGCATTCGCCTTGGGTGGCGTTGGTCATTTTGCAGCGTGCGCTACCTGCGCTGGGGTAAATTGATCATAATTTGAACACAAAGGTGTCTGGCGCGGGACTCGAAGCCGACGTGTGGAGATCTGCTGTCTTCATGGCAACACTTGATACAAGCTATTTGCAGCGCAAGAAGAGACGAGTCCACGCTCGTACTCAATCTATGAAGTAAATGCGACACTCGCTCGCGCAACATATCCTACACGATCCAGTGAATCAAAGTCCACCGAGACGGGTTCTTAATTTCTCGATCCAGGTCTATATCCATAGCTCGGCACCGAGGGGTGTAGGGTAAATGATGTCATCCCCCACATTTTGATGACTCCGATGGGCAAGACGCGTCTGACCACGCATCTGACTCGAGCGCGACTCAGATCATAGTCTTATGCATCTCATGTCATGCAGCATCCCTTGCTCAGCACGAACTCCCATGCGGTGCCTCGCCGCCGCTCGTTTGCTCGTCTCGAAATGCCGAGCCAAAAACATGTGGTATCGCAGCGACCGTTCCGGTTTCTTCGGCAGCCACGCAGAGACTTCTTCATCGAAGCCTGTGGTACGCCTAAAGAAGTGGCTCTTTGCCGTATCGCCCGGCTTGTACACGGCTGTCAGTATCACTTGCGTTGGTCCGGAAGCTCATTTTCCAATTTGCTCGGTTTTCACCTACCATTCTCGACCATGAAGTCAATCTTTTTGACCACAGCACTCCTCGCAGCGTCCGCGACTGCGCTCGAGATGACCAACAAGGAGCGCAACGAGCTCCTCCAAGAACTCGACGCGTGGAAGAAGAGCCAGGCTGGCAAGACCGCGGTTGTCTAGGGTCTCCTCCCGCCCAAGCCGCGCACCGAGAACTTCAACGCGCACGAGCAGCTCGAGACGGAGCTCAAGCGCTTTGCCCACACCCAACGAAGGTCGTCGCAGACCTCAACAAGGAGCACAACGGGTCAGCGACCTTCTCGACCGACAACCAGTTTGCGCT